AAAGCTTTTAATACATGGATAACAACTCTATGTATTTAGAAATACCATAGTAACTCTGTATGTCTGCAAAGATACAATGTAAACTCTAGATGTATATAAAAATAATTTTTATTTCTGTGTATATAAGAATACAAAATAATTCTGTGGGAGTTTCACTAACCGACAACCATCACTCAAGAGCTATTGTGATAATACAACGTTTTGCCTCATATGGTCAAGGCCATCCTATACCTTGCCGAGGGTATATAACCTGACTACTAAGTGGATCCACTAGTCTATGCTAAAAATCACTAAGGAATCATCTAAAAAGTATTACCCTTTTCTACCCATGATGGCTACATGGTTTATAGGGGATGGGGGTTGTCTGAACTCTCCCTTATATCGGTGCTCAATACTACTCCCAAAATATAATACTAGATCTTATGTTTAAAAACATAACTTCTTTCTGTGGTTTGAGATAATTGCTCAAAACTTAGTTCAATGGCTCTCTTGGAAATCAAAGTTTCCTCTCTTGCTTAATTGTGAAAGCATTTAGTCTTTACTAAAAACTAGCCCAAAGGCTCTTTTAGAAATCAAAGTTTCCTTTCTTGCTTAAATGTGAAAACATTTACTCTTTCGGAATACATAGTCCCGATATACTCTTTTGAAGAAATTAACTTCAATCTTTACTCTTTACTCAACTCAAAACTCAAGTTTTAAAACAAAGTGAAAACATTTGTAAAAGACTTTTCGAAAACTCTTATGAACTTCTCTTGACTTGACTCTTAACTTTCCTTGAATTGAATTATGGATTCAAGGTTCAAGATCTCATGTTATGGATGATTTCATGTTATTTAGACGTACCTTAGAGTGTATTAATCAACTAGAAAACATAGTTACATTTCAAGGGAACTTTTACAGAAAGAAGTGGGAAAGGGTAGAAGACCTGGCGTCCCCGGTGCTCTTAGTGGCGTGGGGTGACAGAGCCCAAACTTCAGAGTTTGGGTTGGGGCACTCTAAGTGGCACAGCGCCCCAAAGCCCAAACTTCAGACACTGAAGTGGGGTGCTCTGAGTGGCATGGCGCCCCATGTTCCTACCCAGAAAATCACTAATTTTTGTTGCTCATTTTTCAACTCTAAACCCTCTAGATTCACTTGGTTCTTTCCCCAAATACTTAGATTCGACTACATAACCATAATATGCAAGAATCTACTTAAAACGACATCTAATTTCATGAATTTAAATCAAGAACTCCTTAACAACTTCAACAATCCAGAACCCAATTGAAACTTCAAACAAATCCATCAAAAATTCAATTTCTATACTTTCAAGAACATAATTTTACTGAATAAAACAATATTGGCGCGTGGTTGAACTAACCTATCGTTATGTGATCTCATATACCTCGTATGGATCAAGCCTTGGCGAAATCCACAAGCAATTCTTCAAGAACTTGGCGATTCCTTGTTTTTTCTCCTCTTTTCTTATCTTTTTTTCTCTTCTCTCAAAACCCTAACTTATTTTTATGAAGTGTGAACCCACCAGTGTTTATAAGGTCTAAGGTAGAATAATATCCTCATAACTTGATTCATGAGATATGGAAGATTTTGAGGATGTTACATGCTACTAATATTGAGGGTGTCGAACTTGCTTCGTAGAAACTCAAAGATGTTACATATGTTTGGTATGATAAATGGGAACAAGATCTTGGTGAGAATTGATAAAACTCAATTATACCTCCCAAATAAGGTATATGCGATTGTGTGCAATAATAATACCCAATATTATACGAGTCAGGTCTAACCATAAGGATTGACAGAAAGGATTATGCTTTATTCAATTTTCAAACAAAATCTAACTAACACGATGTTATACAAAATCTAACTAACACGATGTTATCTAAAATAAGAATATATAAAATTGGGGGATTTGGGAAGACAAGGTTTAATTTAAATATGAGTATCACTATCTCAAAACAACCACAAAAAACTTTCACCAAGTTGGAGATGACTAGGGATGTGTGCAATTTGATAGGGGTTTCAATCCAATAGGTAAAGATTAATTAATTTCCACTACAAGAAAAGTGCATTTTAACGACCATTTCTTAACGAAGGGACATAGATGTGGTCGTAAAAAGTGTATTCCTAACGACAAAATAATTTTTTTGGTCGTTAGAGTTAGTTTTTAATATATTATAAGCGAGAGGATAAATATTAGTCGTTCCAAAATTATTTTCCGGTCGTTAAAACAAATTACTAGTAAATATATATATATATATATATTACTTTTTTGTTTTTTTGTTTTTATTGAAGAATAATTATATTTGGGTTAAATATTAAATTTACAAATAATAACTTAAACAAAAAAAAAGCCGCGTATTTTTTCCTCGGTTTTATTTGAGAAACAATCTGAGAGAAGCCCTATGTACGTTTCTCATTAGATCTACGGCGGCTCATCACTAGGTTTCAGTTTTCTTCGTTCGTAAGAGAAAATAAGATAGTTGTGAATCTACAGAGAGGTTCCTCTTCTTCACTTTTTCAAGCAGAGTAAGCTTTGAATCTACAGAGAGGTTCTTGTTCTTCATTTTTTCAAGCAGAGTAAGCTTTGAATCTACAGAACAATTGATCAGAACTTCCTCCTCTACAAAATCAATAGTAAGTGATTGTTCTCTTCTCTCCGGTAAATCATTTGACCTCTTTGTATTCTATCAAGTTTAATTTGTTTTTGGCATTCTGGAATTCAATTCTAAGTGGAACTGGTGTGACGATTTTATCTTTGTCTGAAAGTTGTTTTTGTATCTGGAATTCAATTTTATATGAAATTGGATGTGACGTTATAATGTTTAGAGGAAACATTGATCATTATTTATCTACTAAGATTGTCCCTGGACTCATCAAGAATATATCTTAGGTATGATTAGGATTGATGGAGTTGTTCTCTGTTTCTCATCCCGTTAGATATAGTTTTTACTAACATACAATCTTTTGTGCGTTGTACTTATTGATTATTCTATATGAAAGATAGTTTATATGGATCGACAGAGTTCTTATCAATATAGAATAAATGGATTGTACAGAGCTACAAGAACTGTAAGTGTTTCTTCTCCTTATGTCTGTCAAATCCTTTAACCCACCTCTTTGTATTCCATCATGTTCAATTTGTTATTGGCGCTTTATATGTTATCTAATTCTTATATTCAATCATTCTTTATCCCCTAATATTGTAATCGAGAATAAGTCTTTCTGATCAAACATGAAGATCGTAGCTTTTTTTATGTATGATCAGAATTAATGTATATGGTCTTTGTTCTCATCCAGCCAAAAGTTTCTTTACCAAATACAACCAATTTTGTGTTGAACTTCTATATGTGCCAAGGTTCAGCACACTATCTATTACTATTTAGTATGTGTTTGACTGAATTTTATAGGGAATTGACATGAAATTTAGTAAGAGAGAAACATGTTCCTATAGTAGAAAGCAATTGTTTGTGAAGCAGTCTATAGCCTTAGTCACATATATCACATCTGATTAGTTTTTTCTTCTTATTGTTACTCTATTGTACTTGGAGCTGCAATTTTGTATCTGTCAACATTTTTTCGATTAGTTTTTGTACAAAAATTGCGCTCATTTGAGGCAGATCAAGTAGTTTTATGTTAGTCTTTGTCAGGTTCCATTTTTGGTTATTGAATTACAATTTTAGAATTGGAAGATTCGAGTTACGTAATAAAAAATAGATAAAATCCAAAGTGGGACATAATTTATTGCTACATGCTTGAATGTTACAGATGACGATGTACCCTATCTTTTTGTGAAAGTTTTTGTGTGCTAACGTAGATTAGGAAAAACTTTATTTTATCAATTGTAATGATCCCTTTCTGAGGGCATACTTCTATGTAAATTGCTTTGCTGCTCCCCTTCCTTTTTTGTCTATATGTCTGAACTTGTATCTTCATGTTGTCTAATTTGCCATGTTCTTATTCTGCTTGATGGAATCTGTGTTTTGTCCATATTTATAATGTGTTTGTCTGCTATTGGTAACTGCCAAATTCATTGAATTCTTGTATATATGTTTGACTAGTAGCTAGGTTAGCTAAGTAATCTAGAGTGCAGAGCAGAGCAGCGAGAAACAGTGCAGAGCAGTGAGAAACACAGTTAATCTAGAGTGCAGAGCAGCGAGAAACAGTTAGTTTTTCTTATCCTTCTCTCAGCCAAATACTTAAGCTTCCTTTCATTGAATTCTATAAAGTTCAATTTGTTTTTGGCGTTTTATATGCTGTCTCATTCTTGTTTTCTGTATGGTTTTTTTTATCTTTGAAATTCAATTGTATACTAAAATGGATTTAAAATTCAGTTGCATCTAACTTCAGTTTTTATTAGTTGACAGTTTTCCAGAAACTGTCCACATTAATTCTTTTAGATAAAAAAAAAAGCTTGTAGATTTTTGATATGATTCAGTGGGCTGTACAGAGAAACTGAGAACTATTGTCATTTCTACTAAATCAACTATTAGTGTACCTGGTTAAATTTTCTGTAGCACAATTCTATTTGCATTAATATACACACCTAGAGGTAACCCCTACTTTCTTGGAGAATTTAACATGCAACTTCAAGTTTGTGGACTTGATCAAGTTCATGTATAGCGGAACTCCATTGGATTCATTTATACATGTCAAGAAGAATCTAATGAACACAAAGTTAGAATTGTTGGTAATTAATTTGTCGTCCCCTTTTTTTTCTCAGTATCTATCTTTTTTATTTCATCAACACAACACCAGAACATTTACCATTCTTCATCTGCTTAGAATTTTTATTTACTTAAATACTCCACAAATTGGTTCTATGATTCAAGTATCTTAGCATGTAGGAGATATAACTATTTTTTAGGTTTGTCAACCCCCTCTCGAACTTGTTTGATTGATTTATTAATTCTTGGCCGATTAAATATAATTTTAGTTGTTGCACCTTTTGTATTTTTGTACTGAAATACGTTTGTTCCACATTCTATTGTCTAGACCGGATTATGGCACCTGATAAGCAATGGATGCAACTTATTCATAATAGACTTGATGATGCTTATATACATGGGGTAGAAAGCTTTTTGAATTATACTTTTACAAGATTGAGGAAAGCGAATGAAATAAGATGCCCATGTATTAAATGTTGTAATGCAGTTTCTCGAACACGAGAGATTGTTAGATCACAGTTAATAGTACATGGAATGATCCAAAATTATACCTTTTGGTATCACCATGGTGAGAGGATAGGTGAGACTGAAGAATCAGATTCTGAATCTGAAGATGATGAAAATGAAATTGGCGAGGATGATGAAGAGGATGAAATACATGAAATTCTTACAGATTTACATCCTGCTTTTAATATAGAAAATATGAATACTGGCGGTGATGATATTCCCGAGGAGGAACCAAATCCTGAAGCGAAAAGATTCTATAGTCTTTTAAAGGAATATGATCAACCACTATACAAAGGTTCAAAACTTTCTACTTTGGTGAAATTGCTTCATATTAAAAGTATTGGTCGTTGGAGTAATGACTCATTTAATATGTTACTGAAGATGTTAAAGAATGATTTGTTGCCTGATGAATCAAACTTGCCAGATTCATATTATGAAGCAAGGAAACTAATTCGAAGCCTAGGGCTTTCATATGATAAGATTGATGCATGTAAGAATGATTGCATGTTATATTGGAAGAATGATAAGTTAGTTGATTCTTGCAAAATTTGTGGTGCATCTAGATGGAAGGAGGATAAAAATAGTGGAGAAACTAGACTTAGAAAGGGAAAAAAGATACCACACAAGATCTTACGCTATTTTCCTTTAAAGACAAGGCTTCAAAGATTGTTTATGTGCTCAAAAACATCTTCTTTAATGAAATGGCATCATGAAAACAAAGCTAGTGATGGGATTATGAGGCATCCAGTTGATTCAAAAGCATGGAAAAAGTTTGATGAACTTCATCAATCATTTGCTATGGAGCCTCGTAATGTTAGACTTGGACTTGCTAGTGATGGTTTTCAACCATTTGGATGTTCTAGAACTCCATATAGTATTTGGCCGGTGGTACTTATTCCTTATAATTTACCACCTTGGTTATGCATGAAACAGGAAAAATTTATTTTGTCAATGCTTATTCCCGGTCCTGGAAGTCCCGGAGATGCAATTGATGTTTATCTTCAACCATTGATTGATGAATTAAATGAATTATGGAAAATTGGAGTTGTTACCTTTGTTGCGTCAATTAAACAGAACTTCACGTTGCATGCTGCTTTATTGTGGACCATTAATGACTTTCCAGCTTATGCAAATCTATCTGGTTGGAGTACAAAAGGAAAATTAGCTTGCCCATGTTGTAATAAAGAAACAATCTCAATTAGGTTGAATAATGGTCAAAAACAGTGTTATATGGGTCATAGACGCTTTCTTCCTCTTAATCACAAATGGAGGAAAGATAAAAAGTCATTTGATGGTACTACAGAGTGGAGATTACCTCCAAATACATTATCTGGTGATGACATACTTGATCAAGTGGCTGATTTAGATGGGTTACCTCTAACAAATGATCCAAAGAAGAAGATTAAAGTATCACATGAGAAAAGAGGTGATAATTGGAATAAGAAGAGTATTTTTTTTATCTTCCATATTGGAAAACTTTGTTGTTGCGGCATAATTTAGATGTGATGCACATTGAGAAGAATATATGTGATAATATTTTGGGAACAATCTTAAATATCAAAGGCAAAACAAAAGACACCCTGAGCAGTCGCTTGGATTTGCAAGAAATGAACATCAGGAAAGAATTACATCCAAAAGAAAATGGAGACAAGTATGAGCTACCAACAGCATGTTTCACATTATCTCCTGAAGAGAAGCACAAGTTTTTAAATTTTTTGAAGGATTTAAGGGTTCCTGATGGATTTTCATCAAATATTTCTCATTGTATCAATATGAAAGATCACAAAATCTCAGGATTAAAAAGTCATGATTGTCATGTTCTTCTTCAACATTTAATCCCACTTGCCATACGTAGTATGCTATGCACGGAGGTGCGTGAGCCAATAATTGAGTTGTCATTGTTTTTCAATATTCTTGGAGCAAAGTGCTTAAAACTAGAGGAGTTGGAACAAATAGAAGCACAAATTCCTGAAACTCAATGCAAGTTAGAAAAGGTTTTCCTTCCTGCTTTTTTTGATGTCTTGGAGCACTTGCCAATTCATTTAGCTAATGAGGCTATGATTGCTGGACCTGTTCAATATCGATCAATGTATCCAATAGAGCGATGGTTATACTTTTTGAAGCTTTTTATTCGTAATAGATCATGCGTTGAAGGTTCTATTGCAGAGGGACATATAGCAAATGAATTTACGACCTTATGTTCAAGGTGTTTGCATACAATGGAAACAAAATTTAATCGCCTTGAACGGAATTATGATGGGGGTGCTATAGAATCTGATGGAAGTTTAATGATTTTTTGTCAACCTGGAAAAGCTTTAAAAGGTGGCAAGACACACCGTAAAAGAAATGGAGCAAGCCCATATTTATATTTTGAAGAATTGTGATGAAGTTCAACCATTTCTCGAGTAAGTAATTACTTTTCAAAAAAATGATTTTGTAATTCTTCAAAATGCTTCAAAATGTAATTCTTCTCGAGTAAGTAATGACACTTATTATGCTTCAATCTTCTATAGAGAGTTTTCTCAAGTTCCAGGTGATTCCTCTCAAAAAAATTCAGATAGACAATTCATCAGTTGGTTTAAAGAAAAGGTGAATACTATTTAAAAACTATTATTTTCAAATCATGGAAATAATATTTGCTAAACTATGTTCTTAATCATGATAGATTGCAGGATTATACGAACATGACAATAGTAAGAAAATGGAAGATTTACTCACATTGTCACGTGGTCCTATGAAATACGTGACAAGTTTCAAAGGCTACATTATTAATGGGTATAGATTTCATGTACAAGATTATGATAACGGTTTGAGGACTCAAAATTGTGGGATAGTTGTTGCCGGTGAGACTGATGAAGAAGATAGAATAATTGATTACTATGGAGAACTAACAGAGATTCTTGAATTACAATTTATCGGGGGGAGAAGATTGGTTTTGTTTAGATGTATGTGGTATGACGTATATGACAAAGAAAGGGGAGTTAAAATGGATGAATATGACTTTGTGAGTGTTAACCCACAACGATTTTTGAAAACGGATGAGCCTTTTGTATTAGCCAATCAAGCATCACAAGTATTTTATGCGAGAGATCATTCTAATAAAGGCTGGAATGTGGTGCGAAAGTTTATGCCTCGTGATTCTTTTGATGATATGCAAAAGAATGATAATGATTCTGAGGATTTACATGATTCAATTGAAAGAAAAAGAAAAAGAACTCATACAGGTTTGGAACTTCATAGTGGATGCTTATATTTTTTCAATTACATGCACATATTCTAAATCTTCTATATGTAATTTTGATTCATTGAAGTAGTTAGAGTGAATAGAGGTTGATCGAATAACAATATCTTCTTATTTACTTTGTATGAAATGAATAGAGACAATGTGTAGTAGCATTTATCTTTTGTTTGTTTATCCTAGCTATTTTTATATTTGTTCTATGTTAATATCCGTCCTAAAAGATACTTAGCTAAATGTACTCTATTGTTGGACTTTATGATAAGGATGAAATGAGTCCTTTAAATTTTAAGAAATCTGAAATGGGATCAAGTTCAAAGAATTTAAAGCAATCATTCCTTCCACCTGGTGCGTTAGCCAGGGGACGAGGGCAAAGCCTCAAATCTATGGGATCTGTAAGAGTAACTGCTGAAAAGAGAACCTTGATTGATCCAACAAATATAATGCTAGAGACTCTGAGAAGCAAATCAGGTATTATATTTTATTTTCTCAAGCTACACATTTTTATTGTCAGGTGTTGTGCTTTATTTTCTCAAGCTATAGAGGTATGTACATTCAGTTCTAAATAGATGTTTTCTTTATGTTGATTCCAGCTCTAACTTTAGGAAAGTTCACTTTCATATGTATCTCTAATAGGTCTATATTGAAGTTTGTTTAAGAGATTTTTTTAGAAAATCTTGTATGGAGAAGCCTCAGAGAGAAATTCAGGTTATTTAGTGTACTGATTAAGACTTTATAATGTTTGAATTGTAGAAAAGGAAATCGGTCAGAACTTTACATCTACGGGATCTGTTAAAGGAAGTATTGTAGTACAGGGAACTTCGATTGGAAAAAGTAAAGGTTGTAGTGCTGCATATTCTGATAGGAATGAACTAGCATCGGACAAGAATAATATGCAGCCTGGTCTTGATCTAATAGAAGATGAAACTTCCTTTCCTCATGAAAATCTTGATGAATTGCAAGAGACTGCGAGAAGTAAACCATGTTTCTAATCTTATTTTATTTTCATAGTATACAATTTTTTTATTATTGTTGGCCGATTAAATATAATTTTAGTTGTTGCACCTTTTATTTTCTCATGATGATCTTGAAGTAACAGGATGAGGAAAAGGGTTTACATCTCTCAGCTCTGTTGGAGGAAGTGTCGAAAAGAGAAAAATGATTGGACACAACAAAGGTTGAGATACTCTCATTTCAAAATTATAATGTGGATTTTCATTTTTCCTTGCTCTGTGATCTTGAATAGTTCTAAATAGATGTTTTCTTTAACTCTAACTTTAGAAAAGTTCACTTTCATATTTATCTTGAATAGGTTTATATTTATGCTTGTTTAAGAGATTTATTTTAGGAAATCTTGTATGGAGAAGCCTCCGAGAGAAATTCAGGTTATTTAGTGTACTGATTAAGACTTTATAATGTTTGAATTGTAGAAAAGGAAATCCGGCAGAACATTACATCTATGGGATCTATTAAACGAAGTATTGTAGTACAGGAAACTTCGATTGGAAAAAGTAAAGGTTCTAGTGCTGCATATTCTGATAGGAATGAACTAGCATCGGACAAGAATTTGATGCAACCTTGTCTTGATCAAATAGAAGATGAAACTTCATTTCCTCATGAAAATCTTGATGCAATGCAAGAGACTGCGAGAAGTAAACCAGGTTTCTGATCTTATTTTATTTTCTTAGTATACAATTTTTTATTATTGTTAGACGACTAAGGATGTATAATGTTTGAATTGTAGCAAAGGAGAATGGACAGAACTTTACATATGTGTGCTCTAGTAAAGAAAGTAATGTTGTACAGAGAATGTCAATTGGAAAAAGTAAAAATGAACTAGCACACAATAAGAACCTTATGCAACCTGGTTTTGATCCAATTAAAGTTGATACTTTATTTTCTCATGATGATCTTGAAGTAATAGGCTGAGGTAAAGGGTTTACATCTCTCAGCTCTGTTAGAGGAAGCGTCGAAAAGAGAAAAATGATTGGAAACAACAAAGGTTTAAATTCTGCTACATATGATCAGAATGTCGTTGCACAGAAGACTAATGTCGTCCCTCCTTATTTTGATGGAATCGAAAGTGATACTTCATTTCCTCATGACAATCAGCTAATCATTTCCTTGCTATATGCTTTTTTCGTTTGCATTTATCTCCTGGTGGGAGATCTTGCTTTCTTTTCTGTGAAGGACGTGATCCTCCTTCATTTATCGTAATGTCCCTTGCCTTTTTTTGAGGTGGCTCAGTTAGATTGGTGCATACCATATATGCAAAAGATCGAGAAGAAACTCAAATGCAAGAACTTAAAAGTTATTGCATACATTCTTACCGATTTATTCGGTGAGTCGCCAAACCTCTTTGGCGAGCTAAGTCAAGCTCGCCGAAGGGGTTGGCTCAACTATTAAGACAACTCGGCGATGTAAAGGTCCTTCAAACAAATCGCCGAATACTTTCGGCGAGCATGAGTTTGTCCGCTGAAAGTTACAGTGCATGAGGGTTCCAGAGATACAGAGAAAGGGCTATAGGAATACTTTCGGCAAGTCGCCGAGTGATTTCGGTGCCTTCATACTTCTCGCCGAATGTTATAGTATATGATATCAATCAAGGCACCAAATCAATGGCGAGATGGGGGCTTTGGGCGAATCGCCGAGTCATTCGGCGAGCTCGACCTAGCTCGCCGATTGACCTAACGTGCCTATTTTCAACCCATCTTCTCGAATTCAATCCCACAACCCCCGAAAATAAAAATCAAAGCATGCACTCATAAAATTAGAACAATACCCAAACTACCCATCACCCCGATATGCTCAGACTCCTCCCAGATTTGCCGAATTTGGCCATTTGATGATATTTTCTCTTAAGAGCGGTGTCACCCGCTCTATCATTGAGCAATTTTTTGACATTTAGCACAAACGTGGGCAACTCAGACTTCACCCAATCAATTAATCAACACACAATCATAATCCAACTCATTAAATAGAACAAAATCCACGGGCATTTGACAATCAAATATTACGGGTAAGGTTTCCAAGTTAAAATAGGCATGTAAACAATCTAATTTTAGCAAGGAGACCCATCACACAACAATAAGATACGATCATTGCAAAAGAGTGCAAACTATTCAAAAGTAAACTCGAGGTTTGGAGAACTAACCTTCTGTGCCGATTAAGTTGCGATTGAAAAGCTAGGCGGCAAAGTATCCCAACTCTGAGCACGAATCAACAAACTAAAGTGCTAGAAAAATGCTAAAATCAAGAAAATACTACCTTAGTGTGAGTTTAATAGATTTAAGTGTGAGGGAAAGTGAAGAATTTCAAATTTGAAGTCTTTTCACCATTATAAACCATCCAGTTCACGCCTGTTCGGCGACGTTAGTCGCATTCGCCGATTCACTCGGTGAATCGCCAAGTGATCACTTGCCCGACGATTGCTAAAGTTCTTTCAGTTTCTTGGGGGTCAAGACATCGATATGCATCGAGGCATGTCGGCGACACGCTGAACTGCTTCGTAAGTCAACCGAGTTTTACAGGCTTTGACTCAACTTTGAAATGAGCTAAACGGCGGGTCGAGTCTGCCTCGTCGACTAACCATTTTCTGACCAATCTGTATTTTTCACCACTTTCCTCATTCAATCCTGCACCACTAACACACCATTATTTATAAAAGCAAAATAAAGCAATTAAAACCTTGGGTTGCCTCCCAAGAAGCGCCTTATTTAACGTCGTGGCTCGACGAGAGTCTTTACTCACTCCCCATTGGTTGGGTTGGCACTAGTGCTACTAATTAACCCCAATAGTTCATTTGAGTGAATAGGAGGCACCGCATAGTTCAGGAGTATCCTGATCAGCTGTTTCGATCTAGAGTGAGAGCCAATCATTTGATTTAACACTTCAATACTCTCCTTCGTCTCTTCCAGCATTCGCTCTTGTTCAGTGATTTTTGGATAATGACTTGAAGTATGTCCTCGACACGATTGTTCTCCCTATCTCTAGACTACTTCCTCTCGTGAGAAGGTATGTACCTCCCTTGACTCTTGCACTAATTTTCCATCTTTGTTATTGTAGAGAACAACTTCTTCAGCTGAGATACCAGTGCGGTTAACTCGATGTCCCTCTCGACTTCTTGGCTCGTCTATGCCGAGTTGT